TCCAACAGTGGAAAATTCGCATGGAGCGGTGTAGGGATCGGGGAGGGGACTACATTGAAGGGGATAACATTTCGACTGTCTGATTTTTTTTTAATAAAGGGTTAGAGCATGAATCCGGTTTCTTTATTGCCACACCTTGTAGTGATCCATGATTACCACAAAAGCTAGATGATGTGTGATCATGTTACAGTACACACACAGTCTTTCATCTATCAATTTACTATGTCATCTAAGACAACTCCCAAAACATGTTCTTTTACTTTGAAACAGGAAATGGAAATATGCAAAAGGCCATAAAAGGGTAAAAATCAGTTTAAAATTGGGTTTCTGGAAGTTCTTCTCATGCAACAAGTACATTCATTCCCCATGTCAGATACCAGAGAGTTTACTGTACATATGTTGTTTTTGTACCAGCAAATATGAATTTGTAGTGTCTTATTTGCAAATCAATTCTGAATCAATAGTAACAATTAAATAAACAAGCTGATGTTTTATTTACTCTTGACATAGAGTGACTAAATAGGCCTCAAGCTGAAAATCCTAACTCCACGCAGCAGTCCTTCTTGAAAAGAATAAGAGCCACTTGGGTAGTTAATAAATTCACCTCCTTCTATAGAACCTCAAGGTTCATTACTGTATTCAAAACTGGACCATATACAGAACCATAAAATTCCAATTCACAGTTTTACATCCTATTTCTTTAAGATCCATCATGCTATCATCTTCCAATCTACATCAGAATCATTCAAATTGTGTTTCCACAAAATTATCTGACCATGTTATGCATTTCTCATCTTTCCTATGGACACTCCCAGCCCACCTCATCTTCCTCAAAATCCTGTATTTTGTTAACATACTGAATTCTTTGCAAATCAAACGTAACATTCAATTTACGCCAGCATTCTTCTGGTGGCTATTTCCACTTCACTAAACAAAATAATTATATACATATAGGTATCACCACAGAAGTAACTTCAAGGAACAATACTTTTTGCTTTCCCATATGGGCTTATGTAGATCTTTACAGCCCACATAAATTTACTGTTATCTTGCCAAGACTTCTTAATTAGAAAGTTTCTGCTATTAATACATGCAACTAACATACCATCTGAAATACATATACTGTTCAGTCATTAGTGCCTAGTCACACTCTTCAACATTCAAACCATCACTGAAAGATTTATACACTGTAATACACTTGAAGAGTACAGTATTCATAGTAACTATGGTGACAGCCTCAAATCTTGTAGAATACTTATTAAAATCTGACAGAACCGATCCATACAGGAGATAAAGCACTACCTTCTGTAGGCAATAAACTTAAAAATTATACAAAGCAGCTTCAAAATGTACAGATACCAAACCCACACTTCAAGACCAGAGGCACTAAGAATGCAGCTCCCTTCATAATGCTGTCTTTCAGCAAACACACACTTCTGATAGCATTTGTAGAGCAGTTTGAAACACTGGACAGTGTAACATGTGGTATACAGCACCAAACCTTAAAATCTTCTGCATACTTTGTTTGTATTTCCAAACATGTCACTCATAACACTGTACACTGCAATACAGTTATTCTCAAACTACCTGGGTTCATCAGCAGCCAAATATTATTTTAACAATGTTATATTTTAGCGTCCTGTTGCACTGACTCATGTCCATGATTTATGCTAACCGCCTTACAGTGCATACACTTTTTTCACCTTACTCTTCTCTTTTGCACTACATGTTTCAGCACTAATGTGCCATCTTCAGGTGCGTTTTCTCTATGCATGTCTAACTATTGCATTGCATGCCCTGATGTCTTCATACTAATATATATATAAAGAACACATACATGACATAAGACACAATAACAGCAATACAGGATACATGCATACGGTACTATAGAAAACACTATGGATATCATAGCAACAAATAAGAAAGGGCAATACTTAAACACATTGGAAAACTATCATATATACAGAACGACAAGGAAAAACACGCATATGAACAATATAAATAAAGAAATACATAACCCAATATTTCACGAATTACACACTATTTACACAGAACAACATAACAACACCCCACCACCTACCCCCACCACATCATAACTCAATCAAAATGAAGACAGCACACACACACACACACACACACATATCCAGTAGTATAACGCACGCAGTCACAGGAGCAAGACACAACAAAGAGCACAGTGAGTATTAAACATTATAAAACCACACGTAATAGATAAGTCAGAATGTGGTATTAATAAAAACAATTTCACATTACAGATACACATGAATGTAGGAAGAGTGCTCCCACAGAGGTGGTTTGGCGTGATTCACGTATTGAGATACGATGTAAGGATGACGAATCCTGAAAAGTTTTAATATTTAAAATCTATTATTATATATGAAGAATATATATTTTAGTCATTTTTAGTATGAAGACATCAGGGCATGCAATGCAATAGTTAGATGTGCATAGAGAAAACGCACCTGAAGATGGCACATTAGTGCTGAAACATGTAGTGCAAAAGAGAAGAGTAAGGTGAAAAAAGTGTATACACTGTAATACGGTTAGCATAAATCATGGATATTATATTAACATTTACTTTAAACTGAAAGACAGACCAAACTGTAGAAGTAACATTCCTTTACTGCACAGTTATAAAATGTAGAGACACAAACTTACGTTATGGCAATGTAAATTGCATAATATGACAGTATTTTTTTTACTACTAGTGGGGTGGGACTAAATCCCTTCTACTGCAGTCACTTCTGGCCTATTGTACCAGCCCCAGATGATAGGTGAGGGTGCTTGTGGGGCAATTGGTGGAATGAAGATTGGCAGGGAAAACCGAAGTACTCAGAGAAAACCTGCCCCAGCGCCACTTTGTCCACCACAAATCCCACTTGACCTGGGATTGAACCCGGGTCACCGCGGTGGGAAGCTAGCGACTAACCGCTTGAGCTATGGTGCAGCCTGCTAATATGACAGTAAGTATGTTTTAAAACTAAACACAAAAGCATGTAGACCCACTGCTAAGTGATGGCTCTGTAAACAATGGCCACTGCTAGGTAATGGCCATAACAGATTCGTAACATACACCAATGGAGTAACTGGGAAGTGGTGTTCTCTTGTGGTCTGTGTGACAGCTACATGATGCGACAAAAGAAGAGCAACAAGCGACCATAATGGCCGACCACCACACAACAATCTTCCACTCCAGCAAGAACATTCAAGACAGCTACAGCCAACAAACCAAACAAAACCATAAGGCAAATATGTACATTTCAAGGACACAGAAATAAAACAGATGGTTAACCCACATAATCAGAGGAAACTATGTAAGAGGAACAAAACAGCATTACAGTGAGCAGCAGATTCCTTAAGCATAACAACCCATACACCTGATGATGGCCGGTTAGGCTGAAACATGCAATGTCAATAAAGAAAAGTGGTGAGTGAATAGTAACCGACATTGTACATATATGGCATAAAAGGAAAATGTGCAGTCAAATAGAAAAACTTTGGGAGAGGTGTTACAAACAGGACAAGTCCAGAGTTTAGTTAGTTGTGATAAAGCCTCTGTCAACAAGGACGTGAACACAGAAGTTCAGGATCTATGGCATCGAAAGCCATTACCAAACAACAAATGGCGAAGACACAGCAGACTGAGACGACTTAGCACGTGCACAAACCTCCTCTATAGTCACTCCACAAAAACATGAAATTATGGTAATGTAAACTGAATAATATTATAGTAAGAATGTTTTAAAACTAAACACACAAGCTTACCCAGTGGAACATAGAATCCATCTTGCTAGAGAATAATGTGGCCCCAGCTTCTGTATGATGCTTACCATTACCAATGTAATGACAAGCTGGGTTCCAAGTAGCGCCTGCAATATTTTACACCTTGAGAAATTTCCTGCTAACTGTAAAATGGTTTGCTGAACATATACAATATAAACAGACAATAAAATGGAAAAGACACAAAAAATGGTATCAATAATAACTTGGGAGAACCTGGAAAGTTAACAAGAAGAATCTTTAAGCATTCAATTTTGCAGTCTGTGTTCCTAGATAAAATGGATTAATTTATTATTTCACTCTGGTTGGACAGATTTTCATGAAATTTAATACTGGCGAACCTTATTATAACTGAGACAGAACATGCATTTTAATTTTACCTTTACATATTTTAGGCTAAAAAATGATGAAAAATATTGTAGATATTATGCACATATAAAATATCCAATTCATTTTCTTCTACACAATTTAGATTAATAAAACTGAAAGATATTGGAGGAACACACAAATTCCAGATTTGTTTTCCGTATGGCAGGTTACATATTTCAGTAATAATTTTATTATAAAGTGTTACAGATGAACAACGAAATGCCTCATCTACCCCAGATATTAATTGTTTAGATTTCCAATATGCACATTGTTCAGAGGGATCACATTTATACATCTTCTTGATTTAAGCCTTTACAACACATCTGTTACTGTATGTACCACCACCATTAATTAAGTATCAATGTCAATCCAGAAATTGTGTCATAATAGTGATGTTTTAATTAGCAATTCATTATTTTCACCTAAATGTCATGACTGCGTGGTTACCACCTTTTTTATTTGGTATGTCCGAAATTGAATCTTGGCATCGAGACAGGCTATCGTGGTGAGGTTTATAATGATTTTCATCAGCACCTCCAGATAAATGTCAAAAGAATACATTACATTAAGTAATGACCCCTTCCTTCAATGCCCCTTGACTCATTTCAACCTGACCGAAATATGACAAGGGTTGTATCAAACTAAACATCATTTTCAAAGTTTCAAAATCCAAAGTAATTTAAACGGGTAATCATTGAACCTTACAATCTTATGTAACAAACAGTTCTAAAGGATATTATTGCAATGCCCTGCATAAATCTAATTTGTCCTTGATATTCCGGTACGTCTGGTAAACTTGGCCCAGCCTACACATAGTTCGACCCACAAGCACCCCTCTATCATACAGGAAATACAGAACTTATGTGAATATACTGACGGTGTCGTTAAGACCCACCAGCATTACTCTATCATCCTGGAAATACAGAACTTACGAGAATGTACTGACACGAGTCGTTACTAAATCTGAGCTGAACAGTTTATTCAACAATACACACATTAAAAACAAGCAGACACATTTCATATACAATTGGTCACACCACATGCAAATTTCCAAAACCAGAGCAAAATGTATTTTACGCATTTTGTACTCTTAGCTTAACCTACTCACCATTTTGCATTAACGTGAGTGGAGTGTCCTCCGAACTACAGAAAGTCATGAATAACAAAATACTTAAAACAAAGTAACGTAAAAATATACCCTACATTTCTAACCTAAACAAATATCATAAATCAATTTCCACTCAACAACCCTAACCACACCACGAACCTTCCATACCACACGCACAAAAAAAAATTACACACCTACGAATTATAACGCGGGTAACTAAATATAAAAATTAATTCTTGTATATTGAACAGGTTGTCACAATCTTAAAATATAGTTAAAACGAACAAGTATCGGTAACCAGATCGAATATTACCATATATTTTTATTAGACTATTATCGTTCCTTAAGACACAGGACGGGTAGAGGAGACCGCGATGTCATACTGGTCGTACTGGTCATAACGGTCGTAATCGGTCGTAATTGTGGGTAGGACATGTGTACCACTAAGTGGAATGGGTGATTTCTGTGTCTTGTCATTAATTTACTTCTGTAGAGTATAAAGTTCTCAGGACTGCGAATACACCCTTATTTGAACTTGTGAACCTGATGGCTAATTTTCGGGAAACTTGAACGTTATGACGGTTATCATGGATATGACATTCAAGGTAAACTCGATGCCGTACGTTTAGATTTCACATGATGACTAATATGAAGACGGTGACGCTCGCGAAGTTGTGAGTGTTGTGAGGTAGGAGCGATAATCTGTAATTTCGTTAAATTAGGTTATGTTAGGTTAGTTCATCAGTCCACTGCGCATACACATACACATCAACGCCGAAATTGGTCATTGTCGTCATCGTCGTCATGGTATTAGGTTAGGTTATATCGGGTAGGTCTTTAGATCACAGCCGATCTAGTAAGAATATGCACACGAAGGGGCATAAACCTGGACGCCGCAAAAGTAATATAACGCGGAACGGAGACAAAGTTTCGTTTTGAAACAAACGTATTTTAGCGTAAACGATAATGCAATAGCATGGAAATATATTGACTTACGATCTAGTGCAGTGCGACGTTTTCGAGAAAGTTAACAGGTCCCTGAAGATGGCCAAGTAAGGCCGAAGCATATAGCAATTTGTGCGAATTGGGTGCCTTTTAACTATTGTATGTATTTTGTCAAGTATGGATTATACAGGATGTCCCAGACTTTGGGAGGGTGTTCCTTATGTTAAAGTATGCCGCTATAACCCAAAACACCTCTGTCCAAAGTTGAACGGTTACGGACATAAAGGCCCGAGAAAAGTGTGGGCTTCTGGCGGGTCCACGCACTGTACAAGTAAGCTGACAAGCCTTATCAATGTTTTTCCTCGAGTGTGGTGATGACTAGTCACGCTAGCCGCATACACTCGCATACCAGAGTGCGCAGTCAGCAATGTTACGTCAGCGTTTGCCATTCATGTGTCATGTATAATGCTTGGAACCCTAATGACAACTACGACATGGCGTGCGGGTATTTTTGTAGTTAAATTTAATGGCTTCATGTCACTCACAAGTTAGTTTGATGTTAAGAACATTATTAACATTACAGAAACCACATATTCCTGCCAATTTTAATATGTGTTTGATAATCAACAAGTGTGTAACACCTGACAAAGTTTCACACTTCTCTGACAATTATCTCTGTAACCATTCAACTTTGGACATAGGTGTTTTGAGTTATATCGGCATACTTTAACATAAGGAACACCCACCCGAAGTCTGGCACATTCCTCCTGGGACACCCTGTATATGCTAGTGATTTTATTTGTGAATGTATAAATGTCCAATGTTTTGTTTGCTTGTTGACATGTTTTATATTGGTTGCCATTGGCACATTTATGAATACTTTGAAACGCAGATGTATATGTATGTATGTATTTTAAAGTAAAGTACATTGTGAACATCTTTGAAGATGGAGTTGAATGAGTGAGTGATACAGTAATATTAGTTTATTTATTTGGAGTTTGTTGTGTTGAGAGCCATATACATAGTTCATTCCTATCAGATATTAGTGATCAAACCAAGGAGGGAGAGCTGGGACAGGCATGTAGACTCATGGCAGGGACGATAAAGATATACAAAATTTTGACAAGCAACCCTGAAGAGACCACTTTGAAGCAGTGGCATGGCATGCTGTGCATGGAAGCATTGCTTCGGTAATTAAGAAACAAAAAGAAAAGAAGTCATATATAAATAATTCAATTTGAATAAGGATGTGAATATTGTCATTTAGCGCGTTCCTGCTCAAGGCCACATGCCGCCGCCACCTCCTTCCATTCCCTGCTTGGTGAGATGGTCCAAGTTTCCTTTCATTAATCTCCGTAAGAATTCGTCCTATCCGAAGTGGCCAACGGAAGCAAATTTCAGTTTGCTGGCTAGGCCAGTGAAGGAATGTGTTCTTTCAATGGTTATGTGAAAATTAACTTTTTATGTGTGATTTCAGTCTTATTTGGTGTTATAGGTAACACTAAGTTTTATTAAAATATTGTAAGTCCATATTTATATGGCGTAAGATTGTATTTGTGATCGTACTTTGACGCATCAGAAAGAAGTCATCCGAGTTTAAGGGAGGCAAGTCTGATATTGTGGTACAAGGGGCCGGGGCGTGATTAGACTACACGCACAGGTCACAGCTAAAATGAATGCTGGCAGACAGCGCGACTGCGACTGTGTAGTCGAAAGACTTTTAAAACGGGGACTTCTCTGAAAAGAAAATAATTATAGAAAGAGGACGACCGACATGCAAGTTGCCAGAACTTAAAGCAGAAACCAAATTGTGTGATTAAATTTAATGTGGAACAGTATTCTAAAACAGAGTGGCCATCTGGTTGCCGTAATATAGGAAAATTGTTTTGTTGGCCATGCCTATTGTTTCTCAATCAAAAAATGTATGGAATAAGACTGGGTTTGGTGATATCAACAACCTTCATAAAGTATTGAAACTACATGAGAACTCTCAGACTTACATTATTTCAACAGTGCAACTTGTTATGTTTGGGAAATCTCGAATTGACTGTCAACTTGACAATCAAAAGTGCATGGCGACATTACAGCAGAATGAAAATGTGAAAGAAAATAGAGAAATAATGAAATACTTGACTGATAGCATCTGCCATTTAGGAAAGTGGCAATTTACCCTCCGTGGTCATGACAAAAGCGTAGATTCTATCAACCGAGGTAATTATGTGGAATTAGTTCACTTGTTGAGGAAATATGATCATAAACTCAATGTTCACCTTGAGAACAGTACAGTATTTACAGGTTTATCAAACAGAATACAAAACAACCTTATTGATTTTGGTGAGTTGATTGGTATCAGTTCATTTAGATACCACTGCTTCCCTTACCAAAAATAGTACCGCACGCCACTGCTTTGAAGGCATAGGCATGGATGGGATATTGAAATGGTACTTAGAAGAAACAGGATGAGAGGTTGCAAACTATTCATCAAGGCTCAGGACAGGAGCCAACTATGGAGGCTTCTTGTATATTAATTTATAAGCTGGTAATAAGAATAAATAAGTACAATATTATAGACAACTTCTAATATGTGGATTTATAATCAATTATTGTCAAGAAAATCCAACATTATATTGCAAAATTTGTTCTTTAATTTTAAATCTCTTCTTTACAATCTTAAATCACAATTAACATGTCAGAGATATCCAGACATTACATTATAAAAATGTTATGTTCAATAGGTTGGGGATAGGATAAAGTTGGATAGAGGAGTAGGAAGTAAGAGATACAAGGAGGGAATTGACGACATTATCATGCAAAAACAGCAATTGGTCATTCAAAAGTCTTTAAATACAACATTTACAATAAGAGAGAGACAATTTATGACGTAAATAATGAAAATGTGGAACCATATGTTTGTTGTCTGCAACATCATTTAACCAGCTGATAAATCATGCGTCTTCAATATTATTTATATATATGTATACTTCAAAGTTCCATGGAGTGATCAAAAAAGGACACTTGGGTGTAATGAAAAATGGCTTTCTCTTTCACCTCAAAATACTTTACCTCTGACATTTAAAGAATTATCAAATTTTAGGAATGCAGGAGAATAATATATGTTGTAACTATCTGAACAAAAATGAGGCAAAGCACAATACACAAAGATACTCAAACTTAATACTGAAAACTGAACTGCTTCTCCTTCAAGCCTAGTAATTTTTAATCATTTACTTCTCTGATTTGAAACAGCTGGTAAACTCGTTTTACACAGTTTATGAAATGGAAACCATACACACATGCACACACATGAATTTATGCATGAAGTCTGGGGTGGAAGGCAAGAATTATTTAATAATAAAATAAATAAAAAGCATAGTAAATACCTCACAGTACAACTGTAATACATAATTATTCATGACTTGATAGCATGAACACAAACGTTCTGTGAAATTAAAAAAACCTAATGGCTTAGGAACGATGTAGCTAAATGTGTAATAAGTTTAAGAGCAAGTAATATAATGGAATGAGCTATGAAGCTCGTTGTGACCATACCTCATGAAGAGCCACAATTTCATTCTGGTTCATCAGCATCTATCGGTTCCCCCTACTAAAACGTCTTTTAAACTTCATTTACAAATCAACATACAGATAATTCTATAGTACAGAAAATTCACTATGTAGTACTTAAAAAAACAAAACATATTTATACGTTATTTACAGGAAATCTCAATACATTTTACACTCCTTCCAATATTATTGTAAACATATCTGCAATATTTATAACTACAAACCTCTGTTCTGCTCCCAACTGCAATACTGTCACACATCACTTTGCATTTATTTTTTCATCTGAGCAAGCAAACCACATGAGAGCATCTTAACCAAACAGTTGCTTTAAAAAATCTCATTTTGCCATACCATAGAAATTTCACAAATTTAAAAACTATAGTGATGATATTAAATTAATTTTCTGTCTCCCCAAATTTTCTTTATTCCTTCTTTAAAAAATGCAAGTTCTGTACTGTTCATTCTGTCCTTTGATTTGGTCTGAACAACATTTTTGGTATTGCTGTTTATAAAATATATATATATTTATATATATGATTACATACATCTGAATCCGTCATTCATTGATGACAATCTATAGTAATGACACTCTTCAACTGGTCATTCGAAGGACTTTAACAATCACATTAAGTTGCACAGAGTACTTGTTCTCCTCATACCATACATACACACATGGTCAGACACTAAGAAATACATTATTAGTAACACACATCTTCCTCATAACATTTATTTCAAATATCAATGATAAAGACATGAATCACAATGTAACTTAAATAATATATGGTGATCATTTATATTGTTCATGAAAACTTCATTATTGAAAACTCCCATCAACAGTACTGGAAAATGTGGACACTGAGGTTAAAATATAACAGCACCAGTAACGTCCATTACAGAAACATAGCAGACTGCACACAGAAAAGAATATGAATGCCACGAGAAGTTATTTACTATGTGGAGGAAGAGATGACGGCTTAATGAAGCACTTGCATGAAGTCCTAGAACTATGGTTGTGAGCCAGCCAGTCTTGCAGAAGAGCTTTCTATTCTCTGGTCCTGAGACCATGCAAGGTAAATACTCTTTACCATTTACCTGCACTGAATTTTAGAAGATATAATTTTATTCTTGGTTTAAAATTCATCTGATTGTTAGCACATAAACAACTGATGAAGCAAAGATGCAACTGTCAGGTTGTGTGAGTTCCAAAAATAACCACTGTTGAAGTGCAGAGAAACATTGNAAAAAAAAAAAAAAAATCAGTGTCAGGTGTGTAATATTTAGAAACTATATGATATTCTTTTATAATACAGTAAACTCAAAACATCATGTAGGCTTAATTTTTGAACTAATAATTCAACAGCTTTAAGACGAACTGAACCAAAGATACTTTCAACAAACTAATGCCACTACTCATGTAGAATGATTTATATATCTAGAATTCTGACCACCTAGCTCGCCAGACCTCTCAACATTCAATGTTTTTCTGTGGAGCTGAACATGAGAATATCCCCATAAGCACTGTGCAGATGAAAATAAGTATCACATATGCAGCAAGAGGCATTTTATCTCAAGTTTTGGTCATGATTTCAGGAAATCAAGTGGAAATGATCTGTGCATGTTCAGATAAGAATGAGGGACACTCATTACCTATTACAATACAAGATGCAATAAAAGCTGAAATGTGTTCCATTGTATATGTGTCATACTGTATAAAATGCATGTAACGAGTACTACTGTGGGTAACTGTGGGTTCCTTTCAGCTGTGTGTTTATCCTATTTCAGCTATTTTATGTACAATACTTGTATAAGTCACCTTAATGAGATATCCCTCTTTGCAGTTAAAAAGAAATATATGATATGTGAAAGTTCCTTAAAATAATTACCAACACTAACATCCAAATAAAAATGAGCAAATCTCCACAAATCTTACATTATAAATTCTTAAAAAGATCACGCATTCTTCACTGCCAGCAAATAGAAGTGTTTCTGGACACACTACATTCTCTGATGCAGCTATTCAGTTACAATGCCCTTTCTTTTACCTGGCAAGAGATCAAAGTTTGTCCATATGATTGTCATTCTATTAAAGAATTAATTTAGCTAATAAAGCAAAACCATCATGAAAAGATAACATTTTTGACAGGAAACAGAAATAAAGAGATGCATTCATATGTGTAAGATATTTTTATCAGGTTTACTATAAAGTGGAGTGTAACAGAATCATATCAATGCATTCATCTGAATACCAACAAAGAGTGAGATAGACAAATTAAACATAGAAATATTATCCACAATTCCAATACTGTATGTGGAGATTATCAGTAACTGCAAAACTAGAATTATATTCACAGTGATAACAGTTTAGACTTAGTGCAAAATAATAAACTGCCATATTCATACCTTATTAGGCAAGAAATTCCCACTCAGAACCAACAGAAATGTAAGAATAAAAATCTGATGATGTTAACACCTCTGAAATGTTTCAAAATGGAGTTAAATGTATTTTGTCTAAGTCTATATGTTCTAATGATACTTCTTCACAAATTACTTCTCACTTGGTAATGACTGACAAGGTCTTAAAAATTAACACTTATATAAAACTTAAAATTGTTTTAAAAAACACATTAGGATTTCATTAATGATTGTTCATACACAAAATTAGCTCCCAAAGATAAATGTTGATATAAAACATCATCTTCAACTGAGCGAATATTCTTTGTTCTTTATGCAAGATCCTGCAAATACTGATAAACTTAGTAACTTAAATATTTAAGAGAAAATGGCTGAGTTAATATCCACCAATGAGATTTGAATGTCAAGCACCCCAGAACACTATCGCAACTGCTTTTCAATGCTATGTCCATTACTTCAAGGGTATGTTCATTTTTGGTCACAGATCACAAAGAGATATTAATCTCTACACTTACAAATGACTATTTATGATAAATAATAATTTTATTAGTCCTGTCTTGTTTGCTTCTGAAGCTACTTAGTTAAAACTGTTTCTCAGAACATGGCCAGTGTAGCTGCCACCTGACGTGGGGAACGAGGAATCAACACAAGAGGACGCAGCTGAACCAAGCTTGTAGGTGAAGCCTGGTGTAATCTTTTGGTCACCTTCCTGCTTCCTGCATCTGCTGGTGGAAATCTGGCAAGGAAACCTGCACTGCTTCCTTTTCTGCGCTTAACATCTGACAAAATGACAGGTCGTGACAATCTCCGTGGTCCTCTGTCTCCATGATATATTGATGGTGATGAACAATCATCTCTACACTGTTGTCAGACCTTATGATGTCGCATTTCATAAGCATTCCGACCACCATATGCTCCTGCGTATAGCTCTGGATGATTTGTACGACTGTAACTAGCTGCTGGAGCAGATGCTAAACAGGGAAATAGTAGCATTAACTATAATGTTGTAACTAAATGGCCAACAAACTACTAACCAATCACCTTCCTTGAACCGCTGTTTAGTTGTTCAAGAAATTCCATATCGCTAGGCACCCAAAAGTTTGACATTCATCACAGACATTTATCATAAGTCTGTTCAAGTCAGGCATGCCACTGTAGTTGTGGCTCCCCATCTATAAGCATTGATTGTCAAAGTGGCCCTTTTCATACAGTTTTCAATCCAAAATTCTGCACATATTTCTTGCTTATATCCATCTGTAATGCTACATGTCAGCCCATTCCAACATTTCTCACATAATTATCCTAACAATAATTGGTGAGAATCTTTATTAGATAATTTTATTCATTCACCTATTATTTAAAATTTCTTATAACAAATCTCCTCAATACCTCTTCCTTCACAGTAATACAGATCAAGGACCAAACCCATGTATGTCATCAGGTGGGATGGTAGTTTCATTTATATGTAGGTAAGTCAATAAGTAAATTACAAATGGATATAGAACTTAAACAAATAGGAGTACTGATTTGAAAAATGCTTTTATTTCTCATCATAATCTCCCTGTACATTGAGGCACTTGTCCCACCGTTTCACAAGCCCCTGAAAACCAGCAGCATAAAATTCTTTGGGCTGCTGTCGGAACCAGGCGGTGACTTCCCTTTCTACAGCTTCGTTGTCGGGAAAATGTTCAGCTGAAAGATGATGTTTAAGAGGGCTGAACAAATGGAAGTTGCATGACAGGTTAGGTCTTCACAAAGTCTGTGCACGATGGGTACCGCGCATGCTGCCCCCACAACACAAAATGCAAAGAATGGGTCTGACATTACAGCATCTCAATCGCTACCACGATGGACACAATATGCTAGCCTGAACTGTCACAGTGATGAGTCTTGGTCAAAGTGACTTCCATTTGTTCAGCCCTCTTAAACATCATCTTTCAGCTGAACAATTTCCCGACGACGAAGCTTCAGAAAGGGAAGTCACCACCTGGTTCCATCAGCAGCCCAAAGAATTTTATGTTGCTGGTTTTCAGGGGCTTGTGAAATGATGGGACAAGTGCCTCAATGTACAGGGAGATTATGATGAGAAATAAAAGCATTTTTCAAATCAGTACTCTTATTTAACCTTTAACGGCGGAATGTTATAATTACTGGCAGCAAGTAGCAAGCCGGCTGGCTGAATGTTATAATTTTTAGAGGCAAGCCACGTGCTTCCTTTGTGCATTCTTGCAGTTTGACCTTGGCTTTGAAACCCAAACAAACTCATGAAGTTCATATCAGATGTTTATTTGTTAGCTCTGAACAATGGAATCGTTTATCAGGGTACTTGTTTCATTTACTTTAGATATGACTGTTTATGACCTGCTGAGCCATAGAATTCAGCTTTGTTTTGAGAACTTAGAGGAGGAAATATTCGTGGGCGCTTGCATGTCAGTGCTACCAGAGCTTTCAAGGAAGTGTGACGAATTCAGGGATTGGTTTGCAGTGTTGAATTGTCAGTTAGGACGTCAGTGGCGGATTTCCTAATATTTTGTTATTAGTAAGAAGTCAGTGTCAGACTCCAATATTTCTTTGTATATCATTTTTATTGTCTATCTTGGAAGAGGTATAAACCCACTGAGCCAGTGTTACTTTGTGCGTAAAGACATCTTCGTCACTGTGACTTTCGGTATCAGTGGCGGACTGGCACTTTTCGACTGCTATTGCAATTACTTTGCGTCACAATTTTGCGAGTATTCCTAACAGTCTCGCTTTTTCAATCGTCATAAATTAAAGGATTTAGCTGGAAGCCCCCTCCCCCAAGATAGAACCTCAAAAACGAGCCCGATACTCAAAACTCCTCGATGCTGAAGAACTGGAGGAAATATTGATGGAAGATGAATCTGATGAAGAGTTGGAAGAACTCGATGCACCTTCCTCCATTGGATGACAACTTCCGAGATGAATCTGGCCATGTTATCAAACCTCATGTAATTGGAAGACTACAATGCACACACAGGCTTTGTGGACAAATCTGATAGAATGGTGAACACCTATGACATTGCTCGGAGGACATGGAAGTGGGCAAAGAAATTGTTATTCCACCTTCTAGATATGACTATTCTCAACTCATATCTGTTACACAAGTCATGTGATGGAAAAATGACGCACAAAAAATTCCGCGAAATTCTGGTGCATGATTTGATTATTCAATCACATGAGGCGAATATCACGGTCAGTGGCGTTTCTGGGGGGAGGCCAAGTTCATCTGGGGCCCAACTGAGTCACCTGGAGGTGGAACATTCAAAACACTGGCCAGCTAAAGGGAAACAAAGACGTCAGTCACGTTTGTTCTATAAACAAGAAAGGCAGGAGCATGCTTTTCTGCTATAAAAAGTGTGATGATGTGCTGTGTGTCGTGGACTGCTTCGAGAGTGGGACGCGCGTCAGAGTGTAAACTGTGAAGTGACAGTCCGAACCAAATATTATTGTACATAGTGTCATCATATTTACATCACCAACACTATTAAAGGTTGAAGAAAAACAATGGGTAAGTCCTTCAGAATTTCATAACGTATATAATAACGATTATATTTTGCATTTCATGACAAAATAATCACAGTTAATTTTCATTTGTAAAACCTGCCATTTTGTTTATATGTAGAAAATTTTATTATCTTTCAGGTTCTTTTTAGTTCATATTCCGATGTTGCATAGAATGGAAAATATGCATTTTTTTCTGAAGGTTTGCAACGTTAAAGACTTAGGGCCATTTAAATTCCGGCCATAGGGAGCTGCCGGCAAATTAAAAGTCCGTGCGTTAAAGGTTAAGTTCAATATCCATTTGTAACTTACTTACTGACTTTCCCTTGCATATACATCAAGTATGGATCTAAGATCCATAACTTAATTACTTCTATCTGGCATAAGGAAAAAATGCCTGATCAGTGTAAGGAATCTATCACTGTACCAGTTCACAAGAAGAGTGATAAAAACTGACTGCAGTAATTATCGGGGGATATCACTGCTACCAACTTCATACAAAATTTTCTCCTACATTCTTCTTTCAAGGTTAAGTCCATATATAGATGAAATTATTGGGGATCATCAGTGTGGGTTTCGACGTAACAGATCAACTACAGATCAGATCTTTTGCCTTCGTCAGATGTTGGAGAAAAAATGGGAGTACAATAAGACAGTACATCAGCTATTCATAGACTTCAAGAAAGCCTATGATTCAGTTAGGAGGGAAGTATTGTACAATATTCTAATAGAGTTCGGGATACCCATGAAACTAGTTAGGTTGATTAAATTGTGTTTAAACGTGTAGGTAAACATTTGTTTGATAAATTTCCCATCCAGAATGGTCTAAAAGAAGGAGATGCTTTATCACCACTCCTTTTCAACTTTGCCTTAGAATATGAATTAGGAAGGTCCAGGGAAACCAGGTGGGACTGAAATTAAACGGGACACATCAGCTGTTGGTCTGTGCCGATGATGTGAATCTACTGGGTGATAATATATATACCATAAAGAAAAACACAGTCTTTAAATGACACAAGTAAGGAGGCTGGTATATAAGTAAACACAAAGAAAACTAAGTGTATGTTGCTGTCTCATGACCAAACTGCAGGGCAAAATCATGACATAACAATAGAAAACAAATGTTTTGAAAATGTGGCACAGTTCATATACATAGCTGATTCCAAAAGTAAGGTCTCCAAAGCGCTGGGTAATTTTTCGTGCGGCTGTTGGCAACCCTGTTGCATTCGTTGCTTCCCCCACTCCCCCCAATACCACCAAGCATGCGCGCACGTAGCTAGGACGCTCAGTCTTGGCACGGTTGCCGTTAGAAATGGAGCTCCCGTTTACTAAAACCGCGAAGTGTGAGATTCGCGCAGTTATTCGGTTTTTGAACGCAAAAGGGACTAAACCAATTGAAATTCATTGTCAATTGGTGGAAGTGTATGGCGAGTCGTGCATGGACATAAAGAACGTCCGCAAGTGGTGTAGGGAGTTTGAATCTGGTCGTACTGCAATACACGATGAAAAAAGAACTGGGAGACCGTCAATTTCTGATGAGACAGTCGCGAAGATTGAGCGAGTCATGCGTCAGGATAGGCGCATCACACTCGATGATCTCTGCATTTCGGTTCCCGAGGTTTCCCGAACCACCATTTATCGGGTTTTGACAGAGAAGTTGAATTATCGGAAGGTGTGCGCAAGATGGGTCCCGCGAATGCTCACGGAAGACCACAAACGGCAGAGAGTTGACTCTTCCCGTGAATTTCTTCGCCGCTATGCTGACGAAAAGGACAACTTCTTGAATTCAATTGTCACAGGCGACGAAACCTGGGCGTACCACTTCACACCTGAGACAAAACAACAATCACGTCAGTGGCGGCATTCCTCTTCGCCTAAGCCTCGAAAATTCAAGCAAACACAGTCTGCCGGTAAAGTCATGGCAACTGTGTTTTGGGATCGAAACGGGGTATTGTTGGTTGACTTTATGGAAACTGGGACCACAATAAACGCTGAGAGATATTGTGAGACACTGAGAAAACTCAGGCGGGCGATTCAGAACCGGAGAAGAGGGATGTTGAGCAAGGGCGTAAGCATTCTCCACGATAACGCTCGCCCCCATGCTGCCCGACAAACCGTCGCTCAACTGCAACAGTTTGGATGGAACATCATCACCCATCCACCCTATAGTCCGGACTTGGCGCCCAGTGACTACCATCTCTTTCCAAAGTTGAAAGAACATTTGTCTGGAAAGCGCTTCAACAACGACGATGAGGTGAAAGCTGAGGTTCGAAGTTTCCTGAACAGCATGGAGGTGAACTGGTATGACATGGGCATACAAAAACTGCCACTGCGCCTACAAAAATGCATCGACCGAAATGGCGATTATGTAGAGAAATGAGTACATGTTCAAGATTCAACTGATGTACCCAAAATTGAAAATAAATGTTTATTTTATATTTTCAAACATAGGAGACCTTACTTTTGGAATTGCCCTCATATTTGGGAACAATGATAACAAATCAAAACCTGATTCAGGAGGAAATTAAGAAGAGATTGAACTCGAGTAATGCTTGCTACCATTCAGTCCAGAACTTTTTGTCTTCTCATCTGCTGTCCAAAAACATAAAAATTAGACTATACAAAACTATAATTTTGCCTGTGGTTCTGTATGGGTGTGAAACTTGGTCTCTGACAATAAGAGAGAAACATACACCAAGGGTGTTGAAGAGAATATTTGGATCGAAGAGGGATGAATTGACAGGAGGTTGGTGAAAACTGCAAACTGAGGAGCTTTTCATAACTTGTACTCTTCTCCAAGTATAGTTAGAATGGTCAAGTCAAGAAGGATGAGGTGGGCAGGGCATGTAGCACGAATGGGGGCGAAAAGTAGTGCATATAGGATATTGGTGGGAAAGCCGGAAGGAAAGAGACCACTGGGAAGACCAAGGCGTAGGTGGGTGGACAATATTAAAATGGATCTTAGAGAGAGATAGGATGGGATTGTAAGGATTGGATTGATCTGGCTCAGGTTAGGGACCAGTGGAGGGCTCTTGTGAACATGGTGATGAACCTTCAGGTTCCACAAAATGCTGGGAAATTCTTGAGTGGCTGCACATTTGGCTTCTCAAAAGGGCTCAGCTCCATAAGTAAGTAAGTATATGCAAGCAGCTTCAGTTCCAGCATGTTCTAATTCCCTTGAACTTTCAGAACAGCATTCTCTATAGCAAAATTAACAAGTGAGGAAATGAATTCACTGTTATTTTCTCTCTAGATAGCAAAAAAGAAGAAAAAAGTGGCCCTGTTTGGTTTAATGCCCTCAGGAACCTAGTGACTTATGGACAAAGTGTGCTCTGCATTTTGGGTGTGTTTCATTTTTCTCAACAACTTTTATTCAAAACCCTTTCTGTTCAAGTAAATACTGACTTACACTTGAGATGCAAGAAAATATGCTTGTAAAGGGGTCCATTACTGCTGAGGAATTTAAACCAAAACTGAAATATGTCAACAGATTTTGTGAAGAGTTAACCAGAAGAAAGAAGAAATAAGGCAGGCAAATATCTGGTCCGTTACCACAAGAAAATAAAGAACACATACCAATAGTGTGTCTGCATGCAAAGCAAAAATATTTTCTACAGAATTATCAGATGATGAGGAATTACAATATGTTACAGACCATTTGTCATCATGTGAAAATAAAAGGAAAATACTTTACCTTTGGGTGCATAATACTGACCCCTTCCTTCACCATAGCCATGTGCTGGGCCTCTTGTGGGACCTGGTCTCCCCACTCCCCCAGCAGAATGGCCGCCACCACCACCACCCCCATGTGGTGCACGCTGAAAGAATCCAAGACCATAACATTTATATTGTAGCGTGTTTTGCGTGCCACACTACAAATAAGTTTCCGCCGTTGTTTGATATAGCAAATTTATTCCGCTCACTCACACTTTACAATCATTACCACTTGCAGTGTTACAAATACTGCTTACAATATCTCGGCAACACTAGACTGTCTTCTCTGGCAGATGTTCCAAGACTCTCTTCTTCAACGGCTGGATAAAGACTCTCTTCTTCGAAGGCCGGATAAGGACTGACTGCTTCTCGCCGAAGCTGGGCTATTTATCCCCTCGACCGCTGCTAGGTAAACGAACCCTCTGTTATGGCAGTGGAAACGTTGCTTTGTTGGTTCCGCGTTTCCTACGCAATGACCCATTGTTATTGCGTTGTCTCTGTGGGAACGCTTCGCGTATTCGTCGTAACCATGGAGATTCGGTATTCTCTACACAACGGCTCACTGTTGGGATTACAGTGCCGCTATTGTTACTTCCTATGCAACGGTCTGTTCTAGCGTTTCCATAGAAGTGACTCTTCTGGATTCCCGACATGTTACAATATTATAAATGGTGGAACAAGTATTATTTGTGTTAAAAGATTCATACTCAGAACTCCAACACTCTTTTAATTACTAACACTACATATCTTTCAAATCACATGTTTGGTCATTAGATAATATAAATTTGAAACATTCTTATATCCAGATATGCATGATATTCTCCAGTTAACAGAGAAAATTGCGTTTTCCTATGAAAATACTTATGACCTGAACATGAATTATGTGAAGATAAGATCTTATTATCAGTACATTCTGTTCTCTTAAGTCTATCATGAAATGTAATACTGGAAACCCTTACAAAATTTCACAAAACATACTTAATTTTAGTTCATTATGGACAATTCACACTACCACTTTGTATGTTATCCAGGATTCTATTTACAGATCTGAACAGAACATTGTAACATAATTCAAGTAAACAAACTGCCCACAGGTATGGGAGTAGTTAGTAGCAGTTGATCTGATGGTCTAATGTCAGGTAACATTGCACATCTAGAAAATGAGGCCATATAGCACAGCTTATTTACAAACACTTGACTTCTTCAGTCATCTTGCACAGGTATAAAAAAAATTCCTACTAAAAATATCAGATATGTTGCCCAATTACAAATGTAAACTCAGTTTGTATTAAGTATGATATTTGGCCATTTCAACTTCAGGTTTCATGGTAAAGTGAAACCACATACAACACCTAGTAAACTGCTTACCATTCTCCTGAATGTATTTATTGGTCGACGTAATGTTTCACTGAATCTTCTTGCAGGAGGCTTCTTTGGATTTGATGAAGGTGTATGAACAGCACAGCATTTTATGAAAAGACCCATGAATATGATGAATGCAATACCCATCAACAGAACTGCCCACCAATATTCCTACAAAGAAATCACATACAACTACAGTGAACAAAATGCCAATAACATGATTGTGAGCAGCATTACAGTATGTGATCTGTCACACTCCGTTCTCTGTACACCAGACAGGTTAGTNATGACGTTCGTCCGATAAAGGTTAATGCTGATCAAAGAGAAGCGTGACAAAAAAAAAAAAGAGGGAAGGAATAAATATATTGAAACAAGTGAAACTAAAAATATTGTGGTGAAGCACAAACACTGAAAGAGAAGTCCACAGTGAACCAATTCCTTTTTACACTCTATAAACAGCCTAGCGATCATAAAAGATACGCTATACTTCCACACACACACACACACACACAAAATCTAATTCTATGAAAAATGTGAAGTGGTACACAACTGTAAACAATTTTGCCAATAACCTGCCATGTTACTGAGTCACTCATCTATCATTCACATTTTCTTCCCTCAGATTCATGTTGTTACATGTTGCTGAAGTGCATAAATGACAGAATGCACCACCACTAAAGTTTGATAACTGATTCAGCACATCACTTCCCTCTAGTTACTTGATTTCCTTAATGTAGAATAATCAAAGCTGCACCAGTAACAGTAAAATATATATAAAAGATGTACATCTGAGAGAGAGGAAATGTACAAGAAGAATTATATTACTCTCTCAAAACGCCTCCAAATATTGCAGCTGAGTGGGCAGCATGCCCACGTCACATTTAAGAGGTCTTCAATTCGAACCTCAGCCTGAAGATTGTGCTGACTAAGTCTCTGCATGGTTTTACTCAATCTCTCCAGGCAAATTTCAGTATATTTCATTAGTCGACAACTGCTTCCTTCCAACCCCACTCCAATTCATTATTCACTGATCATCACACACATACAGTCTCAACTATTCACAGCATCATTAAATAAACCACAAATAAGCAAATACTGAAACAGGAAACATTACAAACACTTCACTATGGCATTTCTTTTCACTTAGATTCACATAAATGACAGTGCATGAATTAACTCCGATTACTGCTGACTTTCAATTATAAGGCATACTTGCAAATAAACAAAAATTTCATTAGTATGACTTCTGAAGGGTCAAAAAACAAAAAAGCATCTTGCCAACCAGAAAATGTATTGTGTAAAACTGAAGTCACAAAAATTAAGCATCATAAATATGAAAACACTATGATGATTCCCTGTTCTATATTGAATACTACGGGAAGTAACAAGAATGAATGCAACACAAAAGGAAGTCCATACATAAAAATGACGCCAAAATTTTTTTTTTGCGCGGGGGGAACAATATATTTCACAAACAAGGACTTACATGGATTTATCATCACAATAATTACATATGATGGCTACTTGTAAGTGCAGTTTTGTAATTGAAACACATAAGAGAACTGCACAAAACCAAACACAGTAGTATATAGTAACTAACAGAAAAGTACATGTAACTGAAGAAACATGGAGCTCCACTAATCAGACTGTTTTTGATAAAAGGTGCAAATTGTGATGCACAAGTATAATTAACTTGTATCTACATAATTTATAATCTTATTACTTTTTAGCGATGTACTCATCGACACTGTTTCTGTTAACAGGCTCAAATTGTGATGCATAAGTACATTTAACTTATATTTATGTAATTTGTAATCTTACTAATTTTTTAATTAGACTGTTATTGTACATATGTCTTTGTATTTATATTTTGTTTCATTTGTTCCATATCCTATGGTGTCTACCTGTATCTGGATTTATGAAACATAAATAAATTGAACAATTGAACAATATTCTTACAGTTCATCATCACAGCTTTTGTTTTCATTGTCTTTATTTTCATTCTGTTCTGATTACTGCCACTGTAAATCATATTCACTCCTGTCCAGCTTGTTTGAAATTCCATTTTCTTAAATATTATGGCCATTACAGTACACTGAACTATTTGTAGCTTAAACTTTGGGGTGTAGGTCACATGTCCCTTGCCCCTATTTCACAACTAGCAACTGCTATTAGTTATGCTTCTGGAACTGTATTCGAGACTGCAGGACAGGCAACGTGTGACAGCATAAGCAGTATGACTGGTTGTCAGGAAATTGCTTCAGCCAATGTCATTTGAACCTTTTTTTTTTAATTTGAAATATTTAACGAAAACTAATTTAAAAATTTAAGAACTCTGATTTGGCATATGAATCTGATTATTGTTTCCTTATATAATATATATTTTCATCTTAAAAGTCAGATACTGTACTTGCATAAAACTAAACAAAGTGAAAATTCAATACGATCAGCTTACCGTAATCCACTGTGCAACAGTAAGCAGGGTATCCTTGTTAAAAAGAAGATTCTTGAGTCGAGCCAGAGGGCCTTCAGCATCCACTGCTCTACACTTATAGAAGACATCACAGTATCCCTGTTATACAAAGCAACAGTAAGGAATGGCTGCATTGTAAATTAGCTTTCAAAATATTATTGGCATGAATAAACAGTGTCCTCAATTGCCATATTTGCAATTATACAGTGTACTTTCAAACGCCTGAATGAAAGTGTTAATGTCTTTTAACCTGTGTCAAACAGGTCTAGATCTTTATGGATTAAGTAAAAATTTCTTGAGATTCAATGAACAAGTAAAACTTCTTACAAAGGAACAGACTACTATCATGGATATCTAGATGGGATTGAAAATATACATACATTGGAATGTTTGTGTGATTCATGCTTTGGCCTACACTATGATGACCCTTAGAAGTCTTTCTTAAGGGGTGCATACATGTATGAGTCTGGCTCGGCGAGCATGACTTGCGAGCTGGGCTCAGATTAATTTCACCACATACGCATGAACTCACTCCCAACTTTGCGACCCACACATGGACGAGTTTGGCTCATTGGAACCCGAGCCAAGTCAGACACGTGAGCCAGACCCATACATGTATGGGCCCCTTTAGTCTTGATATGTAATAGCAAGATATTCCATCACAGAAAAATAAAAAATAAAAGCCTAATACAATAATTAAGAAAAAAACAAATACAATAGTAAACTTTTAATAACATTTATCTAATTTTTGTCCACTACAGGCAAAAAGACCTGGTAAATATTCACTTAACATCAAAGTAATCATACCTGGAAGTTGTCACAAGGTGATCCTGGTCGGAGACTAATGCCTCCTGGAGGTAGTCCAACAACATGAGCAAACTCGCTCGTACTTCTGCAAGTACCTGGATCTGTTCCATTCTGACATGCCAACTCACAAAGCTTTCGTTTGTCAATATTTGGTATAATGTGGCTGGTTAAAAAACATTCTGTAAGATTCCACTCTAGACAGATCGAGCCAGTGCATTCTCCATTGATACATAACTGTGTTCCCTCATTACAACGAGTCTTGTTCTTTTTGGCAGCTGGCTGTGGGCACTCAGGTGTGCGGCCATTGCATGTTGAACTCCAGCTACAATCTGACTCTGCCTTGCATTGGACATGAGAGGATTCTAACACAAAGCTACATGTCTCACTGGAGCAGCATGGACCTTCACTTGGACTGAAATTAAATACACAAATCAGTTAACAGGTGAACGGT